ATTTGCTGATGGGGCATTTGATAGGGACGGGCAGGAGGGAAATTTTTGACATAGCTGCTACTGTTGTAACTCATGGATTCACTATAACAAAACAATAAAAACTAATGGGGGATCTTTTCTTACTGTAACGGATGGCCCAGATCATGCTTCAGACAATCAGCCGTAGTATCTTTCTCTTGTTAAGTTATGTAGGCTTGATCAGATCAAGGTTATTAGGAAAGTGAAATCAGGAGGAATTATTAAGGAATCAAGATGCAGAAAATGGTACCCAGAGAATTGTTTCTTTTCCTGCCACCTATGTTATGTAACTGAGAGCTGCCTTGTCTCCAGGAAACACCCCCTCCTCCAAAATACACGGGGCCTTCAAGCTTCTAGTCAGTAGAACCTACAGAAATAATAGTTTTAGATACTTGTGAAATTTCTGTTGGAAGAGGAATAGCCCTGCTCTGAAGCAAAGACACGTCTGAATTTTGTTGTTACAACTTGCTTCCTACGATTTATCAAAATCTACAAATACAAAATTACATTATTATTTACAATAGTTTTTTACACATAAAAGTGGAATAAATTAATGCCTTTTCTATCAGCAATTTTATGCATCCCAGAGGCATGTTTCATGTGTTCTATTAACATTGGGTAGGGAAGAACAGTGGTGTCAGAAATGGGAGCAGCTTTCAGTTTGAAAAAGTCACAGAGACCATGTCATTGATCCAATTCTTGAATGAGCATGAATTTATGACATATTTACTTTATGACATACTCAGGTTTTGAAAACACTGTCAATCTGCCAAGAAAAAAAGGCACCTTAGCGCATTTTACATTTGGCCTTCTATTTCTTCTCATGTGTGAGTTAAATAAGCATGTATTGGTGATACTGAGTGTGCAAATGGAAAATAAGAAAGGAACAAGGTGAGGAATGTAGATCAAAGTATTTATAGTTTGAAACATGTAATCACAATTAGTTTAAATTTATGAACCAGAATGAGCAATGACATTTCATATGTCAAAAATGTGAATGAAGGAAAGCTTTTGAGAATATGTATTAGCAGACTTGAAATACAGAAGAATGAAAATGCAAATCTCCCATTACTTTGTCACCATAGAGTGCCTACTTTGTAAGAATTAATCATTCCTGTCAACCTATTTTAATGTTCTGATATCCTTGTGTCATTAAGTTTGAAAGGCCTTCATTGAGAAAAGCATATAAAGCTGGCACATAGTGTTATGTAATATCAGGTCGTTACAAACTATCTCTCATAAAATGCCAAACAACTGGCCACTTCTTTGGAAAAATCAATCAGTATGGGGCCCGGCGCGGTGGCGCAAGTGGTTAAAGGTCCTCGCCTTGCACTCCCGGGATCCCATATGGGCGCCGGTTCTAATCCCGGCAGCCCCGCTTCCCTTCCAGCTCCCTGCCTGTGGCCTGGGAAAGCAGTCGAGGACAGCCCAAAGCTTTGGGAACCTGCACCCACGTGGGAGACCCGGAATAGGCTCCTGGCTTCGGATCGGCATAGTATCGGCCCGTTGCGGCTCACTTGGGGAGTGAATCATCGGACAGAAGATCTTCCTCTCTGTATATCTGCCTTTCCAATGAAAAAATAATAAAAATAAATCTAAAAAAAAAATCAATCAGTATGATCCTTTTAGTGTAGTGGAAAATAGCGTTAATAACACTGCCTCCTATATTTATAGATATCATTTATTCTCTTTAAAGTCATTTCACAAATAATCACTCCTTTGTTTCTAATCAATTCTTTGAAAAGTTAGAAAGGTAATACATCATTTTAAAGACAAAACAGTTACACCCACAGGTCATTTAGGTGAGTTAGGCGAAGTTTACTGCATTCTGACTTGCAGAAAAAATGAAAAATGTTCTCGCATATTGCCATAGAACAATAACAGCAAAAAGAAAACCCACCAATTTTACCAATATTGACCTTAAAAGTTAAAGCACATGGAACCTCTTTCTACTTGAAAAGAAAAAAAAAAATAGCTTTTAGCTTCAGTAGAATTCAGTAAATCCCATATGAATCAATAGGCCATTGAAAGTGGTCAGAAAATCTGGTGTAATATAAAACTTCACCTGTAGAATAAAGTTTGGGGATGAGCAATGTCATGGAATTGTGCTATTCTGTCTTGGTGAACAAAGGTGGAAATAAGGATTTCTAAATTTCTTTTTTTTTTTTTTCCAGACAAGAGAAGTAAATACAATGTTCAGAAAGAAAAGCAACGAGAAATTAAAATGTTGATAAATATTATATTAATAGAAGGATCTGGGAAGTTCTTTACATATAAAGGATAGAAAGTTCTGTTTCTGAGAGGACAATCTGTTTTAATAAAGGCAAACCAAAGATTTCAGAAAGACAGATTTCGGTTAAACTTCAAAGAACACTTTCATAATAGGTAAAGATCCTCAAAAATTGAATGACTTGCATTTTTGGAAACTTGATGTAGAGCTGGAACAATGTTTCTGGGAAATCCAAGTACTTTTCCACAGTGTGGAAAAGAAAAAAAAACAACATTCCTTTAATATTGTATAAATTTGCTTTTTCCTAGACTGAGTCTAACACAAGTAAGTGACCAATTATTCTCAGAATGTGGCAAATTTTGGGTGAAAGCAATCCCCCAGTGAAGGTACCAGTCTGTGAAATATGAGATCCACAAAAAACTAATTGTACACAAATCTGGTGATCTACTTCCTAAGAAGTGTGAGAGCTGAACATCAAATCAGGGAACACATGTCTAGGAAGGATCTCTCACTGGGCTGGAATGAGTTTACTCTCCAACCTAAGAGGCTGAGAGAAAAGAGGTAATTTACTATATGTTTTCTTTTTAAGTTTTAATAATACATTTCCCCCCCAGGGCTATGCTTAATCACTGACACATAAAACCAACAAGAACGCCTTCAATGGAGCTAGGTAATGTTATAATTTTTAATTTATTAATGAAATATTTATACTTTTTAGAACAGTGGTTCTAAAAAATCTGTTGGAGCAGGCTGATAAATGACAATTACATAGCATTTCAAGGTGGTGCTTTAAAATATATTTCACTGTAGTAATCTAGCTATTTATATTAGAATTGAAGCAAGGTCAATGAATTCTCTACAGATTACTTCATGATTAAAGACACTGTGAGGATCAATTATGATAATCTTATACACTTCATTTATACTCATTCTGACAAATGTCCTCATGCAAGCAAATGAAGCTATTGGCTGTATAACTTAGGTTAAAGAAGGAGTAGCTTGATTATTTTGTCAGTACAATGTGTGCAATTTTACATCACACTCAATATATTACATTTTAAAATCTTGAGTTAAGCTTTAAAAATCAAGATTTATCCTAACTAGCTTTTAATATTCATTCTATGATCAGTATTTACTTTCATGAGAAGCAATAAACAGAAACCACTAAAGACAGCAGAAATACTGGCAATTTCCATTCATTTGAATTGGCTTAACAAAATTGGTTAAATTCCAATTCCATGTTTTTAAAAGATTTCTATTTATTCAAATAACAAACTATCTTAAAGATACTTGTTAAGACCAATTCACTGGTATTTGGATCCTATCTGCTCTCTCCTTCTGTATATAATACCTAATCAAATAAAAGGAGTTTATTAAATATTTTGTGCCTACTCTATACAGGTCATTGTATGTCAGTTGTGACTTGACACTAATGTAACTCTATGTAACTTCTCATTTGGAAATCTAGACTAAAGGGAACCACCCTGTGATATATGCTTTATGGAGCACATTTCAGTTGGTATGAATCTTGATACTTTTGTGGTCTAAAATGAACAGATATGAGTTTTGTGAGTCAATAGTGATTAAGAGGACTGTGTTTAAGGAGCTGTACAATGTTACTTTTCCTATATTTTGTAAGAACTTTTTGGCTGCTTTATGTTGCTATAACAAAATATCTGTGGCTATGCATTTTATAAAGTTTGACTCACTATTCTTCTGAATAGCATCTCCAAGTAACATGGTACTGTAGTGTTGTGCGGGCTCCTTGGCTGTGTCATAACTTGTTGGGAAGGAGAAACAAGTGGTGATTGGTATTGTGTATAACCAAGAACGTTTCATTTGACAGTGAGGTTATATAATATATATTTACATGTGAGTTTGGGCCACAGAAAACAAAGAAATAAGCCATGAATATGCCAATGAGCTACAGGAATTAGGGAAAAAGGGAAAATGAAATGCCTGCAATAGGAAGATGTATCAAAGAATACAAAGGCGGAAGAGTGAAAGCATTCTATTCTGAAAAGAGGAAGAATGAAAACATGTAATTCACTGCTTAATGTCATGTGCTGTCCAACACCAAGATGGGTACAGTGCTTTGATTTAAGGTCTGTGATGGGAAATAAACTACTTCCTGTCTTCCATTCCTTTTATATCCTCTGTGCTCTAGGTTCCAGATATAGCAGGTGAATTATGGGAAGAACAACTTAATTTTTATTGATAGTTAAAAGGGTGGAGATGTAGGTGAGAGTGGCAGGGGTGATAACACCCAGTTTTACATACTTAATCAGCTGTTTCTCTAGCCAAATATGCAAACAGAATAATTTTTCCACTAGGCCAAAGGTTTAAAAGAGTCACCACTTCTAACTACTGCTGCCTTTGAGACCAAGCTTCTAGAAGGTGAGCTTTTGGCGGACACTGTTAATACATATACAACTCATAACAAGGTTGGTATGTGTCTGGCAGGATGCTGGACTAGGAAGCTTCAGTCATTCTTGTCCACATGCAAATATTGGAAAACCAGCAAGGAATGATTACAATAACTTTGAGTTCTAAAAATGAAAAAAAAAATCCATAGTTACCAAGTGAACACTAAATCAAGCCACTTTCAAACAGTAGCAGATTTTGTGGCATTTTTTGCTTTACTTTGTACTATGACTTCCCTAGAGTAACATCACATGGCTGAGAGAAATTGACTCAACTCAAAGAGAGGAACACATGGCAGCAAAGAAGAAAAGGCTTAAACACTTCCACAGGAGGCCTACACGCCACCGCCTTCAGCATCGCCATGTCTCCAGTGATCCCTGAGAAGTTTCAGCACATTTTGCGAGTCCTCAACACGAATATCGATGGGCGGCGCAAAATAGCCTTTGTCATCACGGCCATTAAGGGTGTGGGGAGAAAGTACGCCCATGTGGTGCTGAGAAAAGCAGACATTGACCTCACCAAGAGGGCAGGAGAACTCACTGAGGATGAGGTGGAGCGGGTGATCACCATCATGCAGAATCCCAGACAGTACAAGATCCCAGACTGGTTCTTGAACAGACAGAAGGATGTGTGTGTGTGCGTGTGTGTGTGTGTTTTTTTTTTTTAAATCTTTACATAGTTAATTAGGGTAAAAAGGTTCAAGGGCTACAGGAAAGTGGGTAAGACTAGTATTTTTTTTAATATTGTTTCCTTCATGTTTATCTGTATATCTGACTTTGTGATAAAAAATAGAAAGCAAATCTTTTTTTTTTAAAAAAAGAATAGATGAAACAATGGAGACACTGAAGCCAAAAACTTGAAAAGATAAAGAAAATTGATAATTCTTAAGGACAGTATTTCATCTAATGGTTAAGGCACTGATTGGAACACCAACTCCATACACAGCAGTGTCTGGATTCTAGTCTTCTCTCCACCACCAGTTCCAGATTCCTGCTAATGCAGATTCTGAAAAGGAGCTGCCTCCCTGTCACCTACAGAGGAGAAGCAGAGAGACAAAGAGATTTTCCACTGACTTATTCACTTCCCAAAAGCTGCAGCATCCGGGGCTAGGCCATGCTTAAGCCAAGGAATCAGGAGCTTCACACACGACAGGAGCCTGAGTACTTTTGGCATCATCCTCTGCCTTCCCCAGGGCAGAAGTAGAACAGCAAGAAAGACTTAATAATTAAAAACTATAGGCTCTAGATTCTGACTACCTAGGTTTAAGTTCTAATTCTGGCAATTAATAAAATTAGCTTTGGAAAGCTACATATCGCTCTAAGCTTCCATTTTCTCATTTACAGAACTGAAGTTATAAAGAAGTATATTCTTTCCAATGTTGATATAAGAAATTAATTAACACATACAAAGAGTTAATAGTGCTGTCTTGAAGCTACTAAGTACCAGAAATGTATTTTTGAAATATGTTAGCTAACATTGTAAGACTACCCTTTGGTAGTCAGTTGATTTCTTTCAGTCTTTTATAGATACAATAACAACAAGTACATAATTAAGAAAAATAAATCTGGTAAAATGATCACATAATAAGTTTTTTTTTAAGCAAAAAGTAATTGAAAGAAAAGGTGGCAACATTTAGTTAGAGGAGTAACTCTTCCTTCATGGAATGGGATAATGCACGTATTGCAGTGATAATATGGAAATAGTGGTGGTAAATCTTCAATTGGATACACTCACATCCTGTATCAGAATGCCCAAAGTCTAAGATGCTCTGATTCTAAAAGTCAATGAGTATTAAGGAGATTAAAAAAAATTGGAACAATGATTTATATGGGTTTCTTGTACAAGGAAATGGCAGCCAGGACATTGTAGTGTACAGAAATGGTGCAAATACAAGCTTGAGGTAATAAAATGATATGAAAGACTGGAAGTATAGAATGGTTTAGTGGGGTCATAAAGCACAAATAGAAAAGCAGATGTGGGGGAAATGGGAAATAAAATTTGAAATAATTCAATGCTAGGAAGTTTACACTGTACTTAATTCAGTAAAGAAAAAGTCATCCAATGACCTCAATATCTAACAATTTAGGAACATTTAAGAAAATTACAGAATATCAAATCAATGAGTTATGCAAACATTAGATTAGGGATTTGGAAATGATGTGATAATACTTACAGGTGCTTAAGATATAATGAATGACCCAATCAGAATACAAAATTCTATTTATGCTACATTCGTTACCCAGAAAAGTTGTACACTGTGAACAAGGATTGAAGGACATATGATAAAGTAAGTGAGTTTTAGAGGTGATAGTATGCTTTTTTGTCTCTCATCCTTTATATTTGTTAACAAAATAAAGAACAATTACAATAATCAAAGTTTTGCTTTCGCATACTTTTCTTTGATATAAAATAAACTACATAGCTGTGATAAATAACCATTAACAGCATAATGAAATAGTCTAGAAGGAAGGTCATGAGCATTTGGAGCAGATTGGCAATAATAAAGGAAGAGAAATGGGTTTCAGTGTCAGTTGGTATTAGAATGAATCAATGGCAGAAAATATTACTGGAATGTACTGTCAGTGTTTAAGACAATATATGAAGCAAGTGTAATATTTCTTCTTTTATCTTTATGTTGGGATCTAATAAACGTATAAAAGAATTAGAAAAAAAAATCACACATCTGAGTAAAAAACATACCCAGATCAATGTACAGAACATTACCATTACTGTAAAGGGTCCCTGTTCATAATCCTTTCTAATCACAGCAGTGAGCTCCTGAGGGCAAACTCCATTTTGATTTTTAACAACTAGCATAATTTAAAAATTTTGTATGGATGAAATTGTTCGTAATGAACTGTTTCTTTTAGCTCTTTCTCAACACAGTTTTGTTTTGCATTTGGTATTTGTACTGATTGGTGTGTAGAGATGTAGATAGCATATTCTCATCATCATACGGCATTCTTTGTGTGATTTGAGAGCATCCTCTTTGATTCATATTTGATTTATTTATAGTCTGAGATTATTATGAGTAGAGTTGCATAAACATTAATGTACATATGTGGTGAATATAAATGCTTATTTATTTTGGCTATACATGAAGAAACACAATGAGTCTTTGATTATGCAGTCATTTAACTTCCAGAGTTACTGCAGATTGCTTTTTGCAAAAAAAAATTATTTGAGGGCCCAGTACTGTAGCCTAGCAGCTAAAGTCCTGCCTGTGCATGTGCTAGTATCCCACATGGGTGATGATTTTAATCCCGGTAGCCCCGTTTCTCATCCAGCTCCCTGCTTGTGGCCTGGGCAAACAGTCAGGACAGCCCAAACCCTTGGGACCTTGCACCAATGTGGGAGACCTGGAAGAGGCTCCTGGCTCCTGGTTCAGATCAGCTCAGCTCCGGCTGTTTTGGTCACTTGGGGAGTCAATTAGCAGACAGAAAATCTTCCTCTTTGTCTCTCCTCCTCTCTGTATATCTGACTTTCCAATAAAAGTAAATGAATCTTTTAAAAATATTTTAAACATTATTTTAAAATGTGGAATGATAGAAAGAGGGAAAGTCAGAGATATCTTGACCCACTGATTCATCTTCATTCATACCATGGTGATTTTTGATAAATAGTTCCACTCCCCAAATGGCTATTGCAGGCTAGAACTTTGAACTGATAGAATACAAGCTATTCAGCATGTTTGCAGAATACCAACAACAAAAAAGACAACCAGGTGGAAAATGCTACAATGTACAAGTATATAACTATCATTTTATAATACATTTAAATAACAAAATTAACCTTGTAACTGCCACTAAGGGATTATATTACTGTGATAATTGAGGGAAAAATTGTGAGAGAAGATAGGAAGGAAGGGGAGAGAGAGAGAGGAACCATAGGAATAAATACACAAATTATTAAAAAGAATACTATTCAAATGATTAAAAAGAGTACTATTCAATAAATGAAAATACTAGACAGCACCAAATCAATCTATCTATTAAGCACTTAAGTTTTGGAGGAAAGAAGTCTATTCTCCTTGAAGGTTAGTAGGCCAAAGGGCTAGAGGTCCGGTGTCTAAGACTTCAATATATTACAAGTCCCTTTGTAGTTTATTTTGTTGCTTCAGCAGTGGAGTTTACAAAAACATACATTTATATTTGGGGGAGCTGGAGTGATCCAGAAGGACACAGAGAGACAGACAACACCGAGATGTCCTATCTGGTGATTTACTCATAACAACTTGGGTTGGTCAAAGTTGAAGCCAGGAGTAAAGAACTCAATCCAAGTCTCCTATATAGCTGTGAGGAACCCAACTACTTGAGTTACCACCTGCTGCTTCCCAGGATTCTCACTGGTAGAAGGCTCCATTGGAAGCAGAAATCAGACTACAATCCGGGGAATTCCAATATAGGAGACAGGCATCCCACACAGTATCTTACTCTGTCAAATACCTGTATGCAAAGGCATGTTTTGCAGAAGTGAAACAGATTTTAAAGTGTGGGTAATGATACTCATGCACCATATTCACACACTGAATTAGGATCTCTGGATGTGGAGCTTGATAATCTTTATTTTAACTGATTTTTTAGTTGTCTGTGATTGGCACTATATTTTGATACACACTAGTATGAATCGTTGGTTTCTCCAAGAACATTTGTCAGTGTGTAGAGTTTTGTAAGAGGTGCTTTCTGGCATCATGTTACAGTTTACTGGGCAATATTCCATAGCAAGAATTCTGCCACCCCAAATATCAATATGGACATGGCTTAGAAAGCCTAATTCAAGAGATAAGGAGAAACCTCTTGGGAAACCAGCACAGTGTTTGCACTGTTAGAAACAGCTACACCATAGACTCACACCAGTGTACATCCTGGGGAATCAACAAAGACCCTCAGTTATTGTTTTGGTGTGAGCTTTTGCAAGGCATGTCCTGGGTGCTATAACCCTACATTTCAACCCTTCAGATTCAGCTTGTGAGTCTTCAAACATGCTGGAGTACCCCAGTGATCCAGACTAGGAAGAAAAGAAATCAATGTGTATGTTCACTGCAGCAAAAAACCTGTCTTAAGGATTTTGCAGATATGACTACAAGTAATTTTCAAAACTCCATTGTGAAGTAGATAAAATCATATATTTTAGAATGTGAAAACATTTGAGATAAGTAAAATGGAATTCAGAGGCAACTACTATTTCCTATGGGTGTACGTTTGAGATTGCAATTTCTGATATAAATAACTTACAATCCACCCGGGGTAATGCCCTATGTAATGTACAAAGAATCATGATTGATTTTATTTATTAATATTCAGTTCTTTGCGGCCAAATGGGCCCAACTGGAAACCATTATGCTAAGAGAAATGAGCCAATCCCAGAAGGTTAGATACCACATGTTTGCCTTATTTTAAGATGTAAGGATGTTAATCTGAAAAATAGTACCTGTAAATTGTAATATTATTTCAACCTCAAACAGCCTGTATCACATGTAATTGTAATGTAACCAATGAACGAACAATCAATGTGAGTCAGACTGCTTATGATCTACACCAAAGAACTGTTAAACTTAATATACTTCCAATACCCTATGTTATTCCATAATGGGTCAGGAGAGCAGAGAACTCTTTCACTTTCTTAGAATGTG